ATATAAGCTCTTGGTCGCCTCCTTGAAAAAAATATTTAAAAATAGAACCTAGAAATATTTCGTAAATATTTTTAATTATTCTCATTTTCAAACAAAATTTTGTTAAACTTATTTAAGATAATTTACTTACTTTTCCTGAAAAACTAAAAAAAAAAACGCAAAAGCTCAGCTAAAGTTTTTCGAAATATAGAAAAATTTTTAAGTAAAAAATTAATTACTTTCTCCAAAAAATGGGACGTAAAAATCATTGCGTGTTTGCAAATATCTGAATAAATTTACTGCAAGAAAATATTTTTAAATATATAAACAATAAATAGCACTTAATATATAATAATAATAATAATTAATAAAATATTCCTTGTAAATTATTTAAATAAATTTCTCCGAAAAAAATACGCAAAATTTAGAGTTTTTAAAATTTTTGGTTTCAAAAAATATGCAATGAACTTCCCGGAAATAAGAATTTGTTTTTTGTGAAAATGCGTATAAAATAAATAAATATATTTTTTTCCACAAATCGCGCAAAAAAAATTGCAGAACTAATTTTAAGCAATTTTTTTATAAAAAGACTGAAATAAAATTATTAACATCGTTTGAGTAAATAACAGAAAAATTGTGAAATATTTTAAGAGCAAAATATTACAAAATATTATTTAAAATAATAGTATTTTATGATTTTTAAAAGTTTTTTTTTTATAAAACTACTGAATGTCTATTTTGGTATTAAAAGAAATCAATCATGTGTATGAGATACATTAAGGTATTGATTAATTCATGATTTTTTTAAATAAATAAGAATTTATGGCAAAAAATTTATTAGTTTCAAAATTACTATAATTATTGATAAATTAATCTACAGAAATTGTAATAATTTTCAAAATTATAGTCATTTTCAAAATCTTAAAAAATATTCTGTTACCGTAACAAATTCTCAAACTGCAACGCGCACCGGTGCATCGGTAGATATGGTTGATCATCATTGGAAATAACAAATACAAAAATTCGGCCAGCGGCAAAAATTGATTATTAGAAAAATCGTGCGACAAATAAATGTATTGTTAAAAAAAAATTTACCAAAAATTAAAAGAAATACAGCGAATTAAATGAATGAAATATCTTTAAGAAATATTTTTAATATTAAAATTAAGTGAGAAATATTCAAAAATATAATCTATATTCATTTTATTTTTTCATTGAAGAAAAAAACTGTATATAATTCAATATTTATTTTAAATTTCTGCTGAAAAAAAAAATAATTGTATTGTAATAATTATTTTTAATGTTTTATTTTTGCTATCATTTTTGGGTTGATGATTTAAAATATTAAAAAATATGAATTTATATTTTCCCAATAACAAGTATTTATATTATATTTAATTATTTATCAGGTTTTTAAGCAACTTTTGAGAAATATTATAACATTAATTTTAATATGTGGTTATTTTTTATCTTTTTTATCTCATTTCTATTTAAAGAAAATATAATTACATATATTAAATTATTTTTTAAATACATTTATAAATCATTTTTTATAAAAAAATTAAAGTTTTTATTAAAATTTAATTTATAGAATTTCACAAAAAATATTTTTTTTTTAGTTTAAGTTTAAATAATTTTCAGTTAAGTTTTATTTCTTTTATTATTTTCCTAAACAACCAAAAAACAAATATGAATGTGTGATTGAAAACGTTAATTGGCTTTAATTGGTACGTAAAAATCTTCATTGGCTGCCAGCAAAGGACAGGCTTACAACCTTGCACAATGCAGGATTTTGTTGTATCAAACTGAATAACTTTAAATGAATTTTTTCTTTTACCAACAGCAATATATAGATTTTTAATTCTTAGCCAAGTTATCATTTTTATTATATTTATGCAATAAATATTACTAAAAAGAATAAAATTATAATTTATTTTATGCTATAATTAATTTAATTAAAATAAATATTTATATATTAAAAATATAAACTATGCACCAATACACACACAACTATTACGTATATTCATATCATATATAATATATTGATTATTATTTTAAATATACCAAACGTACGCATATAATAAATATATATATGTATGTTAAGTTCAAGTTAGCTTTTAAGCGCAGCACACGCCATTTGAACAGCTTTTAAGCTTAATTTTTAATTTATTTACGCCAATTTTTATATTTTGGAAAAATATTAACACTGCCAAATTGCACAAATTTCTAACCTAAATACATTACTATACATATTAAATATACATGTTACTCATTGCTGCATTTAAAAAATGAAATAAAATATTTTATTAAAAAAAAAACGCTGAAAATGGCTGCTGAAAGAAGCTTTTTTATTACTAAAAAACATAATTCTAAGACAATTTACTAGCTTTTCTATGAATAATGCTGCTTCAAATAACATAAAACAAATTTATTTTATTTGCATATAATTAATTTTTTTTCCTTTATATTTTAAACGTTTAAAAATTTCACTGACCGAAATTATTTTCTTAAGAATTATTTTACGATAAATTTTAATAAATTTATTTAATATTAATTCTAAGTAACAAATTATTCACAATACACCAAGCATTCATTTATTCAAATATCACATATAGGGTGTTAGGTTATGTGTTTCGATAGTTTAGGAGTAGTAGTATATACTGAGCTTTCAAATGAAGCTTTTTAATGCTTTGCGTTAACTGATTTTTTGTTATGGTAAGGACAGTCTTCTTTTCGACATGAAAAAGCCTTTTATTAAGCGTTTGATTGATGGTTAGCTACAAATAGAACTTTAAGCTCTCAAAATCCTTTCTTTCAAACTATTTGGAAGCAAAACTAGCACTTAAATATAATAATTTTCGTCACGCTCTACAAGCAATCATTAAAGCTCAAACTACTTAACATAACATTTGAGCTTTCTGTGCTTTTGGGTCCTGCTTAAAGCTTATTCCTACCATATGTTTTACTTATTTAGAGAATATTAACATCATGGCTTAGCCCAGGAACAAAATTACTACACATAAAATAGTACAAGATTTAAAAGAACACAAAGTTTCAGAATCAATTTTTAAAAGCTCTCAGGTCAATATGAGAATTTTACTTCACCAAAAACTCTTTTAGCTCTTGCAAGGGTTATTAGGATAATTTTTAACCGGTGTATTACATACTACATATTGATCTTGCACTCCACTAATCATAAATACCGTTAACCCATTATAACTGCATTAACACTTATGAAAACAATAACATTATATATTTTAAAAAAAATTTTTATATATTAAATTTTCATTTGAAATATTAAGTACTTCTAATTTAAAGACAAAAAAAATCAAAACAAAATCGAAAAGTCAACAAAAAATTTTTCTTTTTTCTTTTATTTTTTTCATTTCGTATACGTTAATTTCCTGATACTACGCTCGCGCGCGCGTTCTATGTACTCCGCACCACTCTTATGCATATATGTATGCTTTGTTGAATGATGGTTTACTGATACACACACACACACAAAATAAATGCATATGTTGCAAATTCTTATCACGCACACGCACACACATTTATATACACCAAACACGCACACAAAACTAATTTAACAATAAACGGACGAAAATAAAAATTAAAAAATTAAAATTAAATAAAAAAATAAAATGAAACAAAATTTAAATTAAATAAATTTAAAAAAAAATATATAAAATAAAAAAAATTAAAACAATATTATAACAAATTTAAAAAAAATGAAATTTATTGATATTAATATAATGTAAATATAAATTAAATATTTTTTTGTTTTTAAATTAAATAATATTTATATCAACTTAAATTAAACAAAACACAATTACATCAATTAATTAAATTAAATTGAATTAAAATAAAATGATAAAATAAACAAAATTAACTGAAATCAATTTAATTTAATTTAATTCATTCATTTCAACTCAATTTAAATAAATTAAATTAAACTAAATTAAATGAAAACTACATAAAAAAATAAAATTATTTTATTTAATTTAAAAATTATGTGAAATAAAATGAAATAAAATAACTAAATTAAACTGAAACATAATTAATTAAAATTAAAAAAAAAATTAATTATTAATTTAATTAAAAAAATTAATTAAAATAAAATGAAATAAAATAAAAAATAAATTAAATTAAACTAAATTAAATTAATTAAAATTAAATTAAAAAAATGTGCAAAACCGTGTTATAATTGCAATATTTTTCCCATTTCTGCCGTCAAAAATAAAATATAAATTCATATTTTTTCCAAATAAAACTCAACAATTTATTATGTTTATCTCAACACCGTTTACACCAAAATTATTAATTTTTAAATTCAATTTAATTTTATTACCAATGCACTTTCACTTGGAATTCACTAAAAACTCAATTGCGCTTAATGAACCGAAATAATTTACGTGATTTATTGCACACAAAAAAAAAACACCACCGAAAATTCGAAACAAAACAAATTATGACATTGAAAAATTACTACCGCGCGCGCACTCATACACACACACACACACACACAACAACGCACTACAACAACAAACAATTCATGTAAAACGTAAAATTAATTGATTGTCATTGTGTTGTGTTGATTGTGTCATTAACGAACATATTACTTTTTATTATGACACTCTCGTTGGCCACGCGGCACATGATGCCACAAATCAACCATGAAATTGCATTAATAAAATGAATAAATAAATAAAAATAAAAAAAAAATGATTAAATTTCGATAAAACTGAAATAAAAAAAAAATCATACAAATTAAATTAAAAATAAATTAAAATTCAATCATATCGGTGAAAATGTTGATAACCGCGTTGGCTTGAAAATATGCCAATAAATATGACAATACATCATAAATTGAATGCACACGAACACACTTACACACACACACACACATACGTCGTACACCTGTTTAATGAAATTTACATTGGCACTTATTTGCACAAAACTTGTTTACACCGACTGACTGTGTACTACAAAAACAACAACAATAACGTTGATAACAACAGCACCATCATTCGACCACCACAATACCGTCCTCAGCTGCCGTCGTCGCCGCTGCAGCCGCTGCTGCCCAACAACAAGCGGCCGCCGCTCAAGCCCAGGCTCAGGGTACATCGCAGACGAATGCCGCTAATGCTGCTGCCGTCGCCGCTGCCGCTGCGCTCGCTATGGGTGCAGCTGGCGGTGGTGTGGCGGCGAGCAGTGGTGCTCATCATGCACAGCATACTCATCATCATCATCACCATCCACAGCTGGAGGTGGGCAAGAAACGTGCCGCCGCGGACAATGACATGTTACAACTGGTATTTGTTCTTCCTATTCTTCTTCTTCTACATTTTGTGTTACTTTGTTGTTTGTTTTGTTTTAATTTAGTTGAAATTTTTTGTTACACGATTTTATTCGTTTTGTTGACTATATACATATTTATTTGTTTAAATTTTGTTGTGTTTGTAATTCTTTGTTTTGTGTTGTTGTGTTTAATAGTTTATTATTTTTTCAAACTGATAGTATAGAAAAATATTAATTTTTAATTTGTGAAAATTGTATAGAAATTTAATTAAAGTTATTTTTAGTATTTACATTTTTTTGTTAATTTGCAAAAAATAATTCATTACATATTAATTTTTCACAAAAAAAATTTGCTATTTTTTATTTTATGGTCTTAAATAACACAAATCTAGTTTATTTTGATTTTATTCACGCTTTTTACCGCACATACTTACGTTGCTGCCTGGTGTGTCCTCGGCATTGCATACTTTTCTGCGCATGCTTAAATAGCGTTTTTCTTTTTAAGCCTTATATTATATGAAATAAAATGAGTTTCTTCTTGCACATATGATTTTTTTATTTCTTACAAAGAAGCCTCTAATTGGAACTTAAACTAAATAGTAAGCTTTTGGAAGCTTTAACTAAACTTTGGAGGCTTTAAAAAGTAAAAATATTTTTTTTAAACCTGTCACGTTCAAAATTTTGTCTATTGTTCAAATAAAAATCTTTAGAAAAAAAACTTTTCACGTAAAAATGCAAAGGAAAAGCTTCTAAAAGCGTTAAATAACCACTATTCTTTTGATGATTGTTTTCAAAAGCTTAACATGATGCGTATCAGCAGTATTGATCTGTTGACAGTTTCTAGATGCTTAAATGTCTAGAAACATAAATTAAACTTCCCTGGTTAACAGTTCGTAATTACAAAAAAGTAGCTAACAAAGCTTATACTAATAGCTTTCAATATAGTTTAAAAAGTTCAAAACCTCTTCCGAAAAATTAAGCTTAATGATCTGAACTTTTAGAAATCAAGCTTAATATAAAATGCATTTGAAAGCTTTACGCAACCATAATATTCTTATATGTATTTTTTTTTATTATTAAAGACCGAATCTAAAAATATTTACAAAGCTTCCTTTATGAGTAGTGCCATGTAACAACTGAGAGTGTTGTTTTTTAAAGTAATTGTGAAAGCTTATTGGAAAGCTTTGTAATGCATATTAAAGAATTTCGCAAAAAACACTATTGAGCTAAATTATGCAAAAACAGCTCTAATTCTATTGATATGAGTCATTTTTTTAAACTAGATTTTCAAATTAAAAGCTTTGGTCAAATGAAAGCTTAGTTTCTATTACAAACTAGAACTCTTTAAATGTTGAACATTTTCACTCACTTATTTTATATTTAAAAAACTAAAATTAACCAAATAAAGAATAAGCCGATCTTTGAAAGCTTTCATAAGAACTCAAAAAACCTATTTAAATTAAATATTATATAAATTTTTGTTTTTTTAATTAAACTCAGCACCATATAATATATTCGTTTGATACTGCAAGCTTTCTAAGCTTTAAAGCTTTGTATTAGAGCTTTTTTCTTCTTTTTTTTGCATTATATATATTCATTTGCTCTACATTTAGTAGAAAAAATTATAAGGTGATATCATATCATATTTATACTTAAATACCAAAACAAAAACAGGAAAAAAATTTTTAGTGAAACAACAAAGAATTCAAGCACATACCATGCAACAATACTCAACATATGTTTATGTATTTCTTTTTTTTTTAATTTTTCATTCTCATTTGAACACAATTTAGTATGAATTATTGAAAGCTCAAACAAAACATAGATTTGAACAGTATAAATATATTATATATTTGTATACTTATTATATGTATGCATATATATTGTAGTATAAAGCTAGTTAACAACATACACACATATATATATATAGTTATCTAAACGAAAATTTCATCAATATCACTTAACTAATTTCATGTGTTTTCTTTCTTTCTGTGTATTCTTTTTCTTCCACGCCGTTTGTTTGCATCATTGTGTGTGAATGTATGTGTTGTATCACCAATAAAAAAATTAATAATAATAACAAAAATTTTATAACAAAAACCTGCTACGCCCACTAACAATAAAAAATTATACCTCTAAAATAAATTTAAAAAAATTTAAAAATAATATACAAATTTTAATGAAAATAATTAATAATAATAAAATAAAAAATTATAAAATTATTATTAAAAATTAATAAAAATAATTCATAATTATAACATCAAAAATTATAAAAAAATAATGTAAAAAATAAACTTAATGAATAAAAAATACAACAATATTCTCCGCCACCTCAAATACCTACTACTACTTAACTACTATTTGCCTATGCAACCATCATCATCAACACCACCACCTCCACCACCACCAATACCACCGCTACTACAACCACAACCACAACTTCTACTACTACTACTACTACTACTACAACTACAACTACCTGAAATCGCATTTCTGCCTGCATCTGCAACAACCATTTCAATTGCTCCTACCGCTGCTATCTGCCTCTACTTCGGCTCTGCGCCAACTTCTACTGCACTTTTTGCCGCAAAACAAAAACAACAAATTTTTAATCAATATTAAAATTTCAAAAAATTAACCAATAAAAAAATAGATGGATGTTAAAACGGTTGGTTCATTTTACTATGAAAATTTCGTAAGTACTAAAACCGCATTTTTGTGTAAGCTTTGAAAGCTCTCTACCTACCTAAATGTATTTTTTATAACCAATATATACATTTTTTTTTTTTTGCTTACCTAAAGGTTTTATTTATTCTACACTCAATAAATATTTATATAAATTTTATTCAAAACTAACCTTTTTTACTCTTTCATATTAAGGAAAAACTTTTATTTCGGACTCTATCTTGCAAGGCATGCATTTATATTGTACAAAGCAATAAAAAACTCTCTATATTTATGAAATTTCTAATTCATTGGTTTTTTAAATTAATGTTTTTTAATAGAGATGTAATAATAAAAAACGTTAGAGCTTGCCGAAAAAATGAATAAAGCTTTGATTATTAATAAAAAGCTACAAGAAATACACACAAAACTTTCATATTTTTGCTAAGCTCAAGCACAATTTTAGTATTTGTTATATGGTTTTAATTAAAAAAGAAGAACTCTGAAACTTTTGTACCTTTTTTTCTATGTTTGGAAAGTTCCAAAAATGTATTTTTGGAATTTAAGGAATTAAAAAATGTCTTCTAAATTCATTTTTGGCATTTTTCGATGAGTTGCGTTGAAATCTAAACTTTTAAACTTAATGTGTTACAAAAGAGCTTTGAACTTACGCGTCTACAATAAAATTCGTATTACATATTTTAAGCTAAAAAAAAGCTAAAAGCTCTCAACGTTTGCATAATTATCTACTATATGGTACTAAGGGCTATACTCAAAACATAAATATGTGTAAAAAAAAGTATTTATGTGAAATATTTTCTAATCCGTGCTATTTGGAAAGCTCAGAACTGCCCTATATATTCGTGAAAGCTTAAGTTCTTTAATTTCTTTTATTTGGTAAGCTTTCTGCAAGCTTAAAAAGTTTTCCCTTCATTAATGAAAATTTAGAAAAATTACTTAATTGTATTAATTAAATGAGCATTTGAAGTGCTCATCTTCCTTTTGTGATAAAATCATTCGAAATAATTCTTAAGAGCTTTTCTATAAAAAACCACCATATTTTACAATTAACAATGAAGTTGACTTTCACAATTATTAGTAATTATAAAAACTTTTGCGAAAGGTTGAAAAATCAATTTTCTGTTAGAGCTCATTCCCTACGTTTCATAGTAAGCTTCCATAAAAAAGCTTTATCTACTTTTATGTGAAAGCTTGAGCAGATTCCAGTCTTTGTTTATTTGGTATATCTAAATGTATGCTTGAAATCATGCGCTAATTTTTTTAACATTGACATTTATGAGCTTTAAGCTCCTCCCATTTGAGTTAGTATTAGTTTTGCATTCTCTCGTTCGCTTTTCTCCATTTATGTTCATATATATCATAGTATTGTCGCCGTCTACACACCAGCACATGTTTTTTATGCTATTTTACATAAAAATATGTATGTATATGTATGAAGCTTTAAGCTCGAAATACTATATAACGTAAGCTTTAAGCCTAAGCTTTGAGATTTATTCTACTTAAGCAGCTAGTTTAGCTTTAATGTTTATTGTAAGCTTTTAGAAGGAAATTAATTAATATTTTGATATAAAATTTTTACATTTTTTCTAATCCATTTATTATATTTTTACAATTTTTTCTCTCTCACTTTCTCTTTCTCCACTCTGTTTCTCTCAACACAACTTCAACGCAGGCTTTCTCCGGCATGGTACCGTTCAAGCGTCCCGCTGCTGAAAAATCCGGTATTCCAGTGTATCAACCCGGCGCGACCACATACCAACAACTCATGCAACTGCAACAGCCGTTCGTACCAGTGTCATGTGAGTACCAATCTCAAAATGGTGGGGCGCCTTTAGTGAGCGCCACTACCAACACTACTATGTCCAATTTGAGTACTACTTCTACTACTACTACCACTTCTACTACTACTACTACTATTGTCAATATGAACAATTTGAATATGAATCCATATAATGCAACAGCAGCTGCTGCTGCCGCTGCCGCTGCCGTCGTAGGAGGTGCCGCTGTGGGTACGACAACAACAACAACAACAACAACAACAACAATACCGACGGCTGCTAATTTGTTAGGTGCTAGTATAACTACACAACACAGCCAACAGCAGCAACAACACCTACAACAACAGCATCCCTATCACCAACAACAACAACAACCACAACAATTGTTACATAGCCAACACTTACAGCAGCAGCAACAACAACATTTGTTGCCGCCGCCACCACCAAACACCACCACCACGACCACCACAAAATCCATCAACACCAATGCAACAATATCGACAACAACAACAACCAATGCCACCAATTATCATTTACACCATCATTATAGTAGTAGCAATAGCACCCTGTATAATAGTAGTAGTCATAATAGTAATAACACCAACAATAATGACAATAGCAACCATAGCAACAACAACAACAATACTAGTAACGATCTAACCAATCCAACATCCTCTTCCTCTTCCCCCTCCACTCACAATTCATCCCTTCATGCAGATTCACACATAACACAAGCGGAAACAGATACACCAATGGCAACAAAAACAACTGCAACAACAACAACACCAGCTGCAGATGTTAGTAGTTTGTATGAGACAAGTAGTAGTAACGGTAATGGTAATAACGGTAATAGCAACAACGATAGCGAAAGTAGAGATGACCCAACAACGCCACCACCAACAACAACACGCGCATCGCCGTCTTCGTCGCCAACAACAAATTCTTCTTCAACATATTTGCCGTATAATAACGGTAGTAATGGCAATGATGGTGCTAGTGTCATAAACAACAACAACAATAATAATAATAACGTATTATATGCAAATAATAATATTTTGAGTAGTCAAGCTAGTAGTAAGTTAGCGTCCACAACAACATCAACAACAACAAACGTGACAGCAGCAACAGTTGCTGGTGATAGTGAAATTGTTGATGGCGCCGCTGATATCGAAGCAGCAATAATAACAACCGCCTCTGTTAACGTTGCCACCAATACAACAACAACCAACGCCAGCGCTGTTGCTATTGCTGGTACGTACACTACTACAACAGTAGCAACAACAACAACAACAACAACATCAGCATTCTCACTAACATCGCCACAAAGCACAGCTAATGCTACTAGTAGTAGATTCGAGAAGGAGACTAGTGAAGAAAGTTATATTAACAACAACACCAGCAAAGCTTATTACACCAACAATAGCCACAACAGCAACAACACTAGCTATAGTAAATACACTTACAATGCTGCCGCTAACCAATACAGCGTCGCCAATTCACCCGTTAAGTACACAACTCACAAAACGTCCAGCGCCGGCGCTGCAAATGACGCGGCGCACGCCACTTACGCCGCTTATGCCTATCAAGCACAAGCTGCACACGCGCATGCTGCTGCAGTTGCTTCAGCCGCCGCCAGTGCAAGCACATCATCTTATCCGTCCACCAGTTTGGCTAACGGTTCTAATACTGACGCGCACACCTATAGTGCCTATAATGGCTTGAATGGGCACACCACCAATGCCGCTGCCGCCGGCATTTTGCCTACGCCGCACTCAACCGCTACAACTGCAGTGTCCGCAGCTTCGGCGGCAGCCTATCAGCAGGCGCATCAGCAGCAGCAACAGCAAATGTTGCGTCTCTATCACCAATACGCTGGCGTGCCCACAAGCGCGGCCACTTCTTATGCTAATTTGCTTGCCGCCTCTCATGCTGGTTATGCCACACCCACCACGACCATGGCGCACATGTCGGCCGCAAGCGGGTTAACTTCATACGCCGCTTCGGCTTACGGTTTGACTGCTTCATCGGCCGCTGCCACCAGCACGCTAACACCTACGTACGCTTATAGCGCTTATGGTAGCGCCACGCCTACAGCCTATTATGCCGATGCCAGCGCTTTGGCCAAAGATGCCGCGCAGAAGAGTTATGCTATGAAAATGGCCGCCGCTGTTAGTGCTAACCAATTGAGTGGCAAGCCGCTAACCGCCGCCGCTGCCACTGGCATGCCCACCGCAGGTACTTACGCTGGCTTGCAGTTGGGTAAAACTTATATGGCCACTTTGCCGGGTAGTGCTACCGCTATCGTTGCACAACAACAACACGCTGCGCTCCTGCACGCCCAACAGGCGGCGCAGAGTCAGCAGATGGCTGCCGTTGCTGCACAACAGCAGGTAGCTCACGCGCAGCATGCCGCTGCTGCCGCTGCAGCTGCGCACATGCAACGTTCGACATTATCGGCAGGATCGCTACCTAGCTCGGGTATGTCTACGCCTGTGGGTACGCCTGTACATACAGCCACTCCCGGGGTCGCTGCAGGTGGTCTACTTACGCGTCCCTCTTCTGCCGCTGGCAGTTACCTGACCGCTGCTTCCATGCGTCCCCAGGCTGTGCAGCTGGCTGCCGCGCCCAGTGTCGCTGCTGCTAGTAATCCACAATATGCTGCCGCCGCCGCAGCCGCTGCCATGCAACAGCAGGGTTTCTTCTATCCAGCTGGCATGATGGCCGCGCCTGCCACAGCCGCGTATCCATACGCAACAATTGGCTTGCCAACGGCGACAGGTTTACCAGCCACGCTGTCTGGCATGACAGCATCGCCTGCTAGTGCGACGGGTAGTGCCATGGTGCTGAATCCCTACAAAAAAATGAAAACCTCGTAAAGCGTTTGGCGTTTTCTCACGCGGCGGGAGAATGCGTATCAGACCCAAAGATTTACCAAACAAAAACAGATATGACATAACCCATTCACTAGCTAAGTCCAGCAATATGCGACCAAGCGCTGCGTTACACCCTTTTTATTTAAAGAAAAAGATTCCGTGAGAACTTTTTCTTTGTGGCGCTGTCGTCAAAAGTACATGTACTTAAAAAAAGCTACTTAGTAAAAATTTATAAGGGTAATAAATTTGACTTAAAAAAGAAAAATTGCAAAAATATTGTGCCTCTTTATAGGTATAACCTAAATTAAAAGCTCTCATAAGCCTTAAAAAGCTTAAGCGCGAGTGAGTACTAGACTTATACGAGAATAAAGAAAATATACCACAACGAAATCAATACATACTGAGCCCCAATTACTTAAATACTTAATGTGACTTTAAACAGTAATGAGCTTTCATTTACACGTCAAAGCTTACATGCTTACCTACCTACAAAAATATTTAAAAAGTATAAATGAAAAGCACTTTAATTAAATACTTGAAATTGACTTTACAGAAGCACTAAGGCAGTTCTAACAACCTCAAAAGCTCTACATTTATTATGATAAAGAAAAATAATCTAAGCGTTTTTGACTAAAAGCTCGAAAAGCTATAAAGATTTTAAGCTAAACAAAGTTCTTTGACTGGCAAACTCCCAGCCCAATTCATGCCATTGATACCAATAATTTATGTATATTTTAATTTGTAACTTTCAAATCGCCATTAATTGCATTAAGTTATAAATTTATATAAATAAGCATGCGAGCTTTCAGCAAAAAAAAATGTTACTGGTTAACTAACATTGAAAAAGTATATTAAGCATAAATCATGGCAAAAATACGCTAACTAGAATTTTATGTGACTTGTTCTATTCAAATTCTGAAGCTCTGAACTTTCAAAAAGCTCAGTTGGTGTACTTAAAAGCCTTTATTTCAGGCAAAATACAATAGAATCAATAGAATATGCTTTCACTTAAAAACTCTGCATAGAAAGTGAAGCATGTTAGATAATTGCACAATGATTTCTACTTTCATAAAACGTTCCTATGAAGCCATAAAAAATGCTTACTTTTTTCGTTTTACTAGTAAACAAAAGAAAAGCTTGCAAAAAAGCTAGTGTTAGTTTAAATTATCCATAAGTTTCCTTTTTAGATTTAGGCATGTTCCTTTTAAGCAGCAATCCAGAGGGTTATGTTGCGAATTACACAAAATGAAAGCTTAATAAACTTACTTAAATATAAAATAATAAAAACATCCTCTATAAGCGCTGTATTGGTTAGTGTTGCAAAGTACTTAAAAATTTATTTTTAATAAAGAGTGAAAGCCTCTAGTGAAAGCCACACAAAACTTATGAAACTAAAAGCAGAAATCCCAGAAAACTAATGAAAGTTTTATAAAGCTAAAAAAAATGATTCAAAGCTAGCGAAAACCACACAACACTAGTGAAGGCTAATCAAAACTGGCGCTAGCTATAAAAAAAAACCGTATGAGTATACCATACCAGCGAAAAAATTAGTGACAACAAAAAGCTTCACAGCAGTATTGAAAATTTGTATAGTACTTGCGAAAGCTTTTCACGAACTAACGAGAGCTTCATAAAGCTTGTGGAAGCCTTAATTAGTGAAAGCTTCCCAAAACTAGTCAAAGCTTCATAAAACTAGCGGTAGCTTCATTAAACTAGTGATTGTTTCACAAAACTAGTGAAAGCTTTATATAACTGAAAAGCGTTAGTTTCAAAACATTAATGTGTGGAAACGAGTGACGGTGGGAGTGAAAATAAATGTGCTTTTCTGTGAGCTCAGACTTTGTTAAAGTAACACACACTCCACTCTCTCACTCATTTTACAGTTGTGCGCCACTCACTATCTCTCTCTCTCTCTCTCTCTCTCTCTCTCGCTCTCTCTGAAACGCATTAGTTATTAAGAGAAGCTAAGTTAACTTAACATTAAATTCTTTCGCAGTGATAGAGTTAGTAATTGATTTTTTTTTTTTTTTTTTTTTTTTTTTGTAATTTTATTTATTACACTTAATAGTTGTAAGTAGATTTTAGCTCCTTCTTATGCTGCTACAAATATAATATTTAGCGCGCTCTCTCTCTCTCTCTCTCTCATACAATATTTTATTGACGCTCACATTACTTCTGTGTACGTTTCCGCTGTACACGAACATTGTTGTTTTGTTTTTTTTTTTAGTTCAAACACCGCCTCGCTAGAAAGTATTTGAGAAAATTCGATACTTTATTGCTCAAACAAATATTTGTTTTTCCTATTTTTTAAGTCACTCTCTACTACAAATAATTTATTTATTTTCCTTATTACAAACTAGAATTCTCCCTTGTTCCTTTGGTTAATATTTATTTAAATATTTTATATGCATATTTTTATGTGTACAACAACAACAACAATTGCAACGAATATTAAGTAGTAAAATGAAGCATGAGCGCAATGCTCTCTTGCGTTACACTGCGAAAAAAATTGTGTATAAAAAAATAAATTTATAGAACACTTAAAGAAATTGTATTTAATTGTGTTTGAAATTATATTTGCATTGGATATACATATAGTTTTTGTGTATTTGTTTTAGTTGCTAGTTTAGCTTAGGTGTTTTTAAATAGATAAAAAAATATTTTGAAATTAGTATTAAAAAAAATATTAGCTAGTGTTTTGAAGCATTTAAATGCGTTTTTTTTTTTTCAATTTAAATTTGCGCTCAAATTATCGCTAGTGTGCTAGTTGTTAGAATTTTTTTTTTTTTTATAATTAAAAAGAATTGTTTTTTAAAAAATTAAACGTATTTTTTTGCATTAAAAATAAATTATTGTATATTCTTTTTTGTTAAAAAAAATTGCTCACTTCTATAAACTTAGATCTCTTGTGATTATTTTGCATAATTTGTTTTGTAATAAATTTAATATTTTTTTATTATAAAAATAGCGCCTTACGATATATGTACGACTACGTATTTCTTTAACCGTTACTACCTTAATGATTTTTTTTGTCAACATTGTTGTCTGCTTAAATAGTATGATACCATGAAGGCCAGTGTATTTGTGTTATTTATTTTGTTTAAGTTGTAACTTTTGCAATTAATTTTAAATATATTTAATTAATTTTGTTAAATATTTTTTTATTAAAATTATAAAATTAATTTAAAGCTGCTTACGTTGCCAATATTGTGTAATAATTTTTTTTTATGCGCATATTAGTGTTAGTAATAATATTTGAAATAGTAGTACATACATATACATATATTTAAATGTTAGATTTTAATTTTAGTTTCCCTCTGTGTATTAGTCTTAGTCTAGTACTTAGTCTGCTTATTTAAACCTAACCAATCAAAACAAAAAAAAAAACAAAAAACAGTAAAAGTACCGCTACAGCCAATACACCACACTCTGCTCGCCAACTACACCAACTCACTCTCTCTCTCTCTCTTTCTCTATATTACGCAAAACACGCTCTACATAGCTACGCACGCGTACACTCTACTCAGAACACTTAAAGAGCGCACACACATTCAAGCACTGTCTCTACAAGCGCTCTTACATATATTTACATATATACAAATGCACAAACACACGCAAAAACAACAGTTGTTAAGCTTACGTTCTTGTGCTCAAAGCGACGCTTCGTACATTATGCGACCAACATGCACTACCAGACATTTAACGCCTTTACTCTCTCGCTCTCTCACTCACTTTCTCTCTCTCTCTCTGTTTCTATATTTCACACATAAACACTTATGACACACTCACTCCCATGCTACTTGTGTACACGTATTGGTAGGCTTCTGATTACACACATACACATATATTTTGGCAGAAAAAGAAGAAGAGAAATGGAAATATAAGAAATTAACCCTTTATGTATGCGTGTGTATGAAATGCAACACGAAAAATTTATGCTTAAAAATTGAAAAAAAAAATAATAATAAATACAATAAAAAAGAATAATAATTATGTGCATACTTGTAAATTAATAATTATATACATATATATATATACATACTTACACAAATGGAATAGAGTTGCCGTAAATTATTGAAATAATGAAATGCTCGTTGGCTATCAAAAATAAGTTTTAATGAAAAAAATTATACATATATATATATTAACTCAACACAACCTATCTACTACAACTATATGTATGCTTTAGTATCTTTAATATATGTATGTATGTATTTATACTTTAAAAAATAGCACACGCTTAAGAAAAAGCGCATAATTTCATATAATTTTCAACTGTTCTCTCTTGTATTTTACATTTATTTATTATAATTCATATACATACATATATATGTATACGCGTACATATGTTACTAAAATATGTGTATGTATGTATGTATTGTTTTTTCACTTAAACTATTAACTAAATATCTATGTATCACTGTTAGTTTGCCTTTTTCTCGCCTCTTTGGGAATTAAAATCTTCAAAGAAAAAAATTATACATTATTTGTTATTTGGAAAAAAAATTAAAAATTAAAAATTAAAAAAAAATTTAATAATTTTGCAGTTAAAATATTTTAACTACAACTGACTTACTATTGTTATTATGACTAAGTACATTTAATATACATATATATAAATGCTATCTCTATATATATTTATAAATATCAATTCATTGCTATTGTAATTTTATGTTTTTCTTAATTAATTAATTATTTGTTTGTTTATCATTTTTGTGTAATGAAAATTTGGAAAAATCAATATATAAATATTTGAAAAAAAAACACATATTTTGCATATTATTTAGCTTGAGAAAAATTGATTGGTATTTTTTGTTATTGTTTGCTTAATTTACTCTAATTTGGTTGAAACAACAGAAGAACACACACACATAAGCTGCTCTCCCTTTTTATTGCTCTGTATTGGGTGAAAGTATTGTTGTTACCTGTCTCTCTTGCTGTGCTCTCTCACTCACTGTCTATCTCTCTCACTCACTGTCTCATGGGCTATTATTCTTTTCACTTAAACAGGGTTTAGCTTCTTCATGCTTTCTTTTGTGCATTCACTCATCAATTTTGTTGCTATTTTATGTATAATCTCGCTCTCTCGCTATTTTTCTTCATACCTCCTTTGTATTTTGTGTCTTATTTACACTCATTTATACAATCTATATTTATATGCGATTTTTTTGCTGCCATTTTGCTTTTTAGGCAGAAAAGTTTTTTTTAAACATTTTCGCTCATATAAGTGTCTAATTTTTTACATAAAATTTTTATGTTATATATATATATTCGATCTCTTTTACATACATTTGCATCACATGAGCTTTTTGTAGTCTATTAAATTTTTATTTATTTAAATTCTTATGGCACTCATTTATCACGCCAGTTAATCATAAGCTTCTCAACTCACTTTAAAAAATGCAGCGCTCTTGTTCTCCCTCCAAAAATGGTTAGCTGAAAAAAGTAATAAAATTTTTTGGACCATAAATCATTCACTTTTACGAAAGCTTAAAGAACGTTGCTTAAAAGCTCAGCCCTAAAATAAAAATAAAAATGAAAGCTTTGGAAGCGTGCACTAGCTCACCCAATTTTATGTGAGCTTACGAACTTTTCCGTCTCAAAAAAATAACTGCTCATTAATATTCCAAGCTGGTGTTATACAAAACATTTTCGAAAGCTTATCACGTATTTTCATTCAATTATTAAGTATTCAAAAAGCTTGGCTTAATAGGTTTGTAATTTAAAAGGTCAACTCATTATCGATAGCTAATAAAAAAATTTAAATAATTAAAGTGCTGAAATCTGAGCTTAAAAGCTCTAAAAACTATTAAAGGGCTATGTGTTAAGCCTTGCTTTAAAATTTATTAATGACCTGTATGGAAAATAAGTATATAAATTCACGCAATTGGGAAAGAAGCACAATTTTAAAAGCTTTGAGCTTCTGGTGAAAGCTTACAAGGCGCTTTCACAAATGTAATGAAAACATGAAAAAAACTCTCATTAAACCAAAAAAATTGGTTTTAAATTTTGAAAAGTGAAAGCTTATTTATAAGCTTAGCAAAACTAAAGCTTTTAAAACAAAACTTGTTGCAATGATAAAGAGCGCTTATTTTAATAAATTATAGCTTTTTTTTAATTTTCCAATTAAATAAATTTAATTTTTGTTTGAGAGCGAGCAATGAATGTCTTCATGAGCGGAAATTAATTTTGAATATAATTTCCTTTTTAAAAATTAATTTTTTAACTAAAATCTTAAATACAAATTTCATATTTGAAAAAACAAAACTTTATGCTCTAAAATATTATTTTTTAGAAATTGTTGGGGTTTTTTCACAATAATTTTTATACATTTTTAAAACAAGCTTTTTTTAGATTATTTCAAAAATATTTACAAAAATATATTATTTGCCTTAAAATTATAAATTTATTTTTAAACTATTTTTAAAAAAAAAGTTGATTAATTTTTGAAGTACAATAATAAATATTTTTAACACACAACTAAAGGTTAGAGTTTTAAAAAGTAAAATTATACGAGCAAAAATTTACAATACAAAAAACATTTACGAAAAATATTAGGGAATTTAATTGAAGTTCTACATTTTGAACAAGAAAAATACTGATATATTATACTAACATAACCAAGCAAAATTAAGAGAAAAAAAAGTAGAAAAAATTATTTGAAAAAATTTACAAAAAAAGATTTAAAAAAAATTTAAAAAAAATTAAAAACGAATTAAGAGAAAAAAATTAAAATTGAAAAAAAATAAAAGTAAAAAGTTTAAAAAAAAATTAAAGAGTTACCTTTAACAGTTGCAGCATTGAAATTTGAAACGTTTTTGAGAAAATTATTGAAAAGTAGGCATAACATGTTAATATAACAGTACATACATATACCAATATATATACATACATATATGTACATATATAAAAATATGTATTTATGTTTACAATAGTTTGTAAATATACAAAAAGAGAGTAATGAGGTTTTGAATGATAGTTTTTCATAGTTCCATGAAAAAAAAGTTTTGAAAAAAAAAAAAAAAAAATCATTGAATAAAATCTTTGAAAAAATTTAATTATTAAAATTAAAAACAAAATACTAAAAAAAAATATAACCAAAATTATGCATCTCTCTAGTCTGTTGAGTGGAAAATATCAACCAAATAAAAGCGTCTACCTATAACGTTTACGGTATTTTGTAATATTAAAATTTTGTTTTTTTTTTTTTCAAAAAAAGTTTAGTAGTGTCTTGTTATTGTATAATTTTTTACGAATTTTTTTATATTTGAAAGCTTCTAGTTATATAAACCGAAAGGTATTTTTTACACAAATTTCTTTTAATAGTAGCTTTTGAGCTTTTGAGCTTTTGCATAATACACCAAAAAGCACACGGCACTAATATACTCCTGAGCAACCCTACAAGTTATACATAAAACACAGAAAATTAAGAAACAGTGAATGACAATAGATACAAAATAGAAAGAAATACAATTAGTAAAAATACTTAAATAAAAGCTTTACAATTCAAAAGCTTTAAAAAGTTTAGTGACAAAGAGTTTTGTAAATCTTCTAACCAGTTGTTTGGTAAAAAATTATTTAAAACAACTTCTTTGGAACTTTTTCTCGTGAGCTTTAAATCGAGCTTTGAGCGCCCAAAATGGCCGAAAATCTATCTAGAACTTTCAAATTAAATTGTGTTAATTTTTTGGTGTCTATAGTTCACTGCTCATTTACTTCTGTTAAACCTATACAAAAAGCTCAAAGATTTCAAGTAAAAATGTCTCTACGTTTTCATAAAATAATTCAACAAATGCCATCATTCGATTACTTTATTCAACATGAAACGAATAATAAAACCGTCCATAAATTACATAAAAGCTAAGCTTTCGAATGAAATAGAGGATAGTGTATGGTGAAAGCTTCATTTTGGGAAATCCAATTATCGTATGAAATTTTCGTTTTATTTCAATCGAAGTAAATTAAAGCTTTATTTTTTGAACTTGAGCCCGTGAGCAGAAGAAGATAAGGAGTTGAGGTTTAGAAAGGGCAGATTTTTGATAAGGCTTATATAAAAGAAATACGAAAAGCTAGCTAGAAGTAAAACTCAACTCCTATAAACATTTTCCTAACAAAGTTGAGAATCAAAAAGTTTAACACTTGTAAACTAA